TTCTCTTAATGTTGATTTCTATGTTTTGTGATGATTTAACGAACTCCACCATTGCAAATAAAGGCAAGAAAAGCATTATCTTGAAAGTATCAAACGATTTAATTATTATAACTACATGATGGTCACAGTTGCAGACTTGGTGCCTCTGTGTGGATTTTTATATGTCGAGACAGGATAGCATTAGAGGCTGCAGAATAGCTACACTGGTCACACTTGTAGGGTTTTTCTCCTGTATGGGTTCTCATATGTCTGGATAAGTCAGACTTGTAAGCTGTCCTGTACCCACACTCCCCACACATGTAGGGTTTCTCACCGGTGTGTTTTGCTAGATGTTGGTCCAAATAATATTTCCGTGCTGCAGAATAGTCACACTGGTCACACTTGTAGGGTTTTTCTCCTGTATGGGTTCTCATATGCTTGGATAAGTTAGACTTTTGAGCTGTCCTGTATCCACACTCCCCACACATGTAGGGTTTCTCGCCAGTATGTTTTGCTAGATGTTTGTTCAAATCATATTTCCATGCTGTAGAATATAGTCACACTGGTCACACTTGTAGGGCTTTTCTCCTGTATGGGTTCTGATATGTCGGGATAAGGTAGACTTTAAAACTGTCCTGTATCCACACTCCCCACACATGTAGGGTTTCTCACCGGTGTGTTTTGCTAGATGTTGGTCCAAATCAGACTTCCGTGCAGCAGAATAGTCACACTGGTCACACTTGTAGGGCTTTTCTCCTGTATGGGTTCTCATATGTTGGGATAAGTAGTGCTTTTTAGCTGTCCTGTACCCACACTTCTCACACATGTAGGGTTTCACACCGGTGTGTTTTACTAGATGTTGGTCCAAATCAAACTTCCGTGCAGCAGAATAGTCACACTGGTCACACTTGTAGGGTTTTTCTCCTGTATGAGTTTTCATATGCATGGATAAGTGAGACTTCTGAGTTGCCCTGTATCCACACTCCCCACACATGTAGAGTTTCTCACCAGCATGCATTGCTAGATGTTTGTCAAAAGAGGATTTCTCTGCAGCAGAATAGTCACACTGGTCACATGTGTAAGGTTTTTCTCCTGTATGAGTTCTCATATGCCGGGATAACTGAGACTTGCAAGCCGCCCTGTACCCACACTCCCCACACATGTAGGGTTTCTCACCAGCGTTATTCAAGTTGACTTGTGCTGCCGCCTGGTCTTGACCATTGCTTGTTTTGCTGTCACAGTCGACCTGGGAAACCCCGGTGGGAGACCCATCACAGTAGTTCTGACCAACTCCGGTGGGAGACCCGTGTTCTGCCATTGCCATGTTCAGCTTAAAATGAGAAAATGGAGAAATCATGGAGATTTGCAGAAAACAATGCATTTTCCCAATTAGATTGAAACGTAATTCATGACAACTCAATAAATGATACAAGGATATAGTCATTGCAACTCTTAAATTGGGCTCATTTGCTGTTCGACAAAATACATGTACACACGCACACATGCACACACACACACACACACACACGTGCGCGCGCGCACACACTCACACACACACACACACACATACACACACACATACAGATGCACACACACGCATACACACGCATAAATGCACACACACACACACACATACACACACACACACACACACACACACACACACACACATACACACACACACATGCACACACACACACACACACGCATACACACTCACACACACATACACACTCACACACACATACACACTCGCTAACTCACCCACCCACTCACTCACTCATCAACACACACACACACGCATACATGCACACACACACACAAAGAGTGCCTTTCCCCAAGGACACAGGGTCGGTGATTTGGCAGGATTCGAACCCCAGACCTCTTGGTTCTAAGCCGATTAATGCCCAGACAAAAATACGTTACACAACCCCACATTGCGTTTCTTTACAATCCAGTTAAAATTGCTGTTTTTCTATACCATTCCACGTCCTCCAAAAAAGGCCACTTTGCCTGATGCAGCATGACGTACATGAAACTAAGTGGCGAGGGTCGAACCTCCAAACGTATGTTAGGTTTCGCCCCCTCCCCCTTTAATTCAACGATATTCACATCCCGAAAATGCCTACAAATCATCATCCTACTGCGGTTCTTCTTCCACAGAAATGGTCTTAAAGTAAACTATTCCCCTCAACATTAGAATACTTTTCTGTTCGTTTCTAAGCCTTACCTGCTTCCTATGATGGTTTTTCTCTTCATGTAAACCGGAACTCGGGCAGCTTTGTCCTTCCGTCGTGGTCAGAGGTGAATATCCTTTGGGTTAAAGGTGAACTTGTTTGCCTGATTACCCATGTAGTACAATTGACGTCGGGTGGCACGTTACGTTTTAGTTTCCTCACAATATAAACGTTTTACACACTTTTACAAGTAGACCACCAAAACAACGTAAAATGCGCCCGATTTTCTTGTCTAGTATAATATTATGTGAAAAGAAGATAGAAAATAACAGTTTGGCCTGAATGGTGATTTCTATGTTTGACCGTTTCCAAAATCATATCCAGTTGCTCGAGTAACTGCTTTTTGGCGAGATTTCTATGTTTTGTGACCAATTGAAAAACTCTATTCATGAAAAAAAGGGTCACTGGAAGGCATTGTGTTCAATGTACTGAACTATTTAATTGTGTTAGTGGTAAATATATGTTGCTACATATTCTATTAAGGGAATTCTATCTGCTCGTACACAACATAACGTCTATAGCTTTTCCCTAGTCTAAAATCACTTCATACAGTTGCTATACTATCGGCTTTAAATGTTTTACCGAAACCAAACGATAGTTTACAGAGTTGATATTGGTCCAAAGCTATTTTTGTAGTACATATGGGAACATACTCCGTCAGAGCGAACTATTATAGAAACACGAAGATAGCACATTCATACAAACAACACTAACTTCTACCTTTGAAATTCTGTGTACGATCACTTGCCAATGTTAATTACTGACTATGCATATATACATTATCCAATCAATACCATCAAGTTAACTGTTTTTACACAATTCATGATAGATACAAAAATGATTTATTTTGTGAAAAGAACTGAAAACAAAACAGAATATATGGGCTGATAAAGAAAACCAAGAAATGAGAATTATCATTGTGCCTACTGTACATTATAGTTGTACATAAATTAGAAATAAAGAAGTACAAGACAATGGCATTTCGTTTGGAAAGAACTATTACCAGCTGTTTGAAAATACATTTATTATAAACTTTTAAAGAATATTTAGCTCAAATATTTTTGAATATTAACGTGATATATTCTTATGGTTGTTTTTTAGTATGGCAAAACTACTAAGGAAAGATTGAGAAAACTAAAAGGCGCTATGAGATAATCACAGTTACAGAGTTGGTGCCTCTGTATGGATTTTTATATGTCGAGATAGGATAGCATCAGAGGCTGCAGAATAGCTACACTGGTCACACTTGTAGGGTTTTTCTCCTGTATGGGCTCTCATGTGTCGGGATAAGGTAGACCTTAGAGCTGTCCTGTACCCACACTCCCCACACATGTAGGGTTTCTCACCGGTGTGTTTTGTTTTATGATTATCTAAGGTGTATTTCTTTGCTGCAGAATAGTCACACTGGTCACACTTGTAGGGTTTTTCTCCTGTATGGGTTCTCATATGTTCGGATAAGACAGACTTTTTAGCTGTCCTGTACCCACACTCCCCACACATGTAGGGTTTCTCACCAGTGTGTTTTGTTTTATGATTATCTAAGGTGGATTTCTGTGCTGCAGAATAGTCACACTGGTCACACTTGTAGGGTTTTTCTCCTGTATGGGTTCTCATATGTTTAGATAAGACAGACTTGTAAGCTGTGCTGTACCCACACTCCCCACACATGTAGGGTTTCTCACCGGTGTGTTTTGCTAGATGTAAGTCCAAAGAGGACTTGAGTGCTGCAGAGTAGTCACACCGGTCACACTTGTAGGGTTTTTCCCCTGTATGAGCTCTCATATGTTTGGATAAGTCAGAATTTCTAGCTGTCCTGTACCCACACCCCCCACACATGTAGGGTTTCTCACCAGAGTGTTTTTGCTTTTATGATTACCTAAGGTGTCTTTCTGTGCTGCAGAATAGTCACACTGGTCACACTTGTAGGGTTTTTCTCCTGTATGGGTTCTCATGTGTCGGGATAAGTGTGTCTTATGGCATGTCCTGTACCCACACTCCCCACACACGCAGGGTTTCTCACCAGCGTTATCCGAGTTGACTTGTTGTGCTGCCGCCTGGCCTTGAACATTGCTCGTTTTGCTGTCACAGTCGACCTGGAAACCCCGGTGGGAGACCCATCATCTAAGTTCTCGCCAACTCCGGTGGGAGACCCTTGTCCTGTCGTTGCCATGTTCAGTCTAATTGGAAAAAGAAGAAATTATTAAAAATTAAGCCTTAAAAGCTGCCAACGATAAAATTAGGTTGGAAAGAGACTCGGCATCATAGGTTTGGTCTGGTCTATTCATAATAACATTTCGCTGTTTTCACAAATCAGATTTTTCTAGATTTGTAATGTACGTCTTATGGTTGGTTGGTTTTTGTTTTCTTTTAATACCAACGATCATGAAAATGATCATTCTGACATTCTCCTTTTCACCTGAGAGATCGGTGACATGGCAGGATTCGAACCCCAGACCTCTTGGTTCTAAGCCGAAATACGCTACACAACCCAAATTGACATAAAGGTTTGGTCTGGTCTATTCATATTTCGCTGTTTTCACAAATCGTTTTTTTCTAGATTTGTAATGTAACGTTATACCTTATGTTTTTTTTCCTTTAATGCTCTGTAGATACATTTTCGGAAAAAAACTAAAAACAAACAAGAACTTTTACTCGTAAAGTCTCGCCTACAACATAACGCCTACGTTTTTAAAATTGTAAAATTACTAATGTTGGAAACTGAAGCGAACCAAATGCTAGTTTACAGAGTTGATATTTTATTAGTCAAGATATTTGTTGTACATATAGGCACGCACTTCGTCAAAGTAAGTATTAACAAGAAATCGAAGCTCCATTCATACTATTTCAACGACTACGTTTCATCTATTGTCTACAATCACTTACCTATGTTAAGTACTGATTACATGTATACGTACATTATCCAATAAATACTTTCAACTTAAATGTTCTTCCACTTCAGTTCTAAATAACTAAAAATATGATTTCTGTTCTAAACAATTGATACCTACTATTAAAGAACAAAGTGTGCATTAGGCTTCTTAGAAATATTCTTGTAACTGAACTTTTGTTGGGTAATCAGAACGCAGTGGATGCAGTTCAAAGTACATGACAATGACGTTTCATAGGGAGAAGGTTTTCCCATTTTGCAAATTTTGTTAAATTTTACAAAATATTTCGCCTATTTTTAAATAGAAGAAGATAATGAGCACTATTGCAATATATACTTAATCATGATATGAATGGAGAGAAACTGTATATAGTTAAGACAAGATTGGGCGCACTAAATGTCACTACGAGATGGTCACAGTTGCAGAGTTGGTGCCTCCGTGTGAATTTTCATATGTTGACTTAGGGCAGTCTTAGAGTCCGCGGAATAGCTACACTGGTGACACTTGTGGGTTTTTTCTTCTGTATGGCCTTTCATGTGTTTGGCTAAGGAAAACCGGTAAGTGGTCCTGTACCCACACTCCCCACACATGTAGGGTTTCTCACCCGTGTGTTTTGATTTATGATCATCTAAGGTGGATTTCCGTGCTGCAGAATAGTCACACTGGTCACACTTGTAGGGTTTTTCTCCTGTATGCACTCTCATATGTAAGGATAAGTAGTACTTTCGAGTTGTCCTGTACCCACACTCCCTACACATGTAGGGTTTCTTATCTGTGTGTTTTGATATATGTTTGTCCAAGGATGATTTCCGTGCTGCAGAATAGTCACACTGGTCACACTTGTAGGGTTTTTCTCCTGTGTGGGTTCTCATATGTCGGGATAAGTCAGACTTGTAAGCTGTTCTGTACCCACACTCCCCACACATGTAGGGTTTCTCACCAGTGTGTTTTGCTAGATGTTGGTCCAAACTGATTTTATGCGCTGCAGAATAGTCACACTGGTCACACTTGTAGGGTTTTTCTCCTGTATGGGTTCTCATGTGTTGGGATAAGTGAGACTTGATAGCTGTCTTGTACCCACACTCCCCACACATGTAGGGTTTGTCACCGGTGTGTTTTACTAAATGTTTGGCCAAAGTGGATTTTTCTATAGCAGAATAGTCACACTGGTCACACTTGTAGGGTTTTTCTCCTGTATGGGTTCTCATATGTAGGGATAAGGTAGACTTGTAAGCTGTTCTATATCCACACTCCCCACACATGTAGGGTTTCTCACCAGCATGCATTGTTAGATGTTTGTCCAAAGTGAATTTATGTGCAGCAGAATAGTCACACTGGTCACATTTGTAGGGTTTTTCTCCTGTATGTTTTCTCATATGTCGGGACAAGTGAGACTTGTTAGATGTCCTGTACCCACACTCCCCACACATGTAGGGTTTCTCACCTGTGTGCTTAGTGAGATGATAGTCTAAATTAGCTTTCAGTGCAGCAGAATAGTCACACTGGTCACATTTGTATTGTTTTTCTCCTGTATGGGTTCTCATATGTCGGGATATGGTAGACTTGTAAGTCGCCCTGTACCCACACTCCCCACAGATGTAAGGTTTCTCACCAGCGTTATCCAAATTGACTTGTTGTGCTGCCGCCTGGTCCTGAACATTGCTTGTTTTGCTGTCACAGTCGACCTGAGAAACTCCGGTGGGAGACCCATCACAGCAGTTCTGACCAACTCCGGTGGGAGACCCCTGTCCTGCCATTGCCATGTTCAGCCTAATGAAAAAAAATTGAAGAAATTATACAGATTAAGCGTTGTAAGATGTCAATGGTAAAATAGAATTTATAGAAAACAAGCTTTAAAAAATTCTAACTTCACCAAGCTTTACAATTTTAACCTAATGCATTACAACGTAACCCAACATAATTCTAACGTGTTGTTTTTCTCGCATAATTTGAATAAATTTGCTTCCATGTTGTTCCAAAATCATAAATTGTGAGATCTTACAATCACTCACTCACACCACCAATTTCTTAAAACATTTTATATCATACCATTTATTACTTCTACGACTACGAACAATGGGTAAGATGACTCCATTCGCTAGGCTGGAAAGAGAGTCGGCAGTATAGCCTATAGGTTTGGTCACCAGGCTTCTCTATTTACTGTTTTTACAAATCAGTTCTAAGCGTTTCTAGATTTTGTAATGTACGCCTTGTGCGATTCTTTACAATACAATTTACATTTCTATATAATTTCACGTACTCTAAAAAGGCCACTTTGCCTGATGCAAATCGACGTACATGTAAGTGGCGAGGGTCGACGTATGTTAGGTTTCGCCCCCCTCCCCCTTTAATTCAACGATATTCACATACCGAAAATGCCTACAAATTATCATCCTACCGCGGTTCTTCTTCCACAGAAATGGTCTTAAACTATTCCCATCAACATCAGAACTTTTTTCTGTCCGTTTCTAAGCCTTACCTGCTTCCTGCCCTAACTCGGGCAGCTTTGTCCTTCCTTCGTCCCACGAGAACAGAGGTGAACGCCAGGTGGGTCAAAGGTAAAGTTGTGTGCCTGATTACCCATGTAGTGCATTTGGCGTCGGTTTGAACGTTAAGCTGTGTTAATAATGTCAACGTTCTGCGTTCAAACCGACCACCTTAACAACGTAACAAGCGCCTCGAACAGGCTTCTCTCAGGGCTCCGTTGTAGTCTCCAACAGTTTTCTCTTTAAGGGCTACAGAGTAGTCTCCAACAGGCTTCTCTCAGGGCTTCGGTGTAGTCTCCAACTGGCTTCTCTCAGGGCTCCTGGCAAAGGTACGAAAGTAACGGGTTCCTTACTGGGCGCCCAGTACGGAAACCGTGGAGAAAATAGCGTCGATACTCGGCGCCCAGTTCTGAAGAAAGCTCTAAACTGGAATTCCAGTTCGGAACGGCGTTATTCCAGTACTGAAGCTTCGTCAGAACTGGAAGTTCATAACTGAATCTTGTTTCGGAACTCGTTTTCCAGACCTGAACGCCCGTCGGTACTCGGACCCCAGTACTGTGTTGCGTCCCGGCTACAGGAAGGCTGGTTCAACTGGTCATTCAGTACTGGTCAGTAGTACCCAGTTCGGAGGTCATTCAGTACTGGAAAGCCGAGTGTCGATGTACCTAAGTAACGGGTTCCGTACTGGATTGACCAGTAAAAGTGACTCTACAGTACTGGAAGCCGAGTTTTCAAATTATTTCCGAACTGGGCTTCCTGTTCTCACGTTCTAATTGTACTGGGATGTTCCAGTACTGAATACGATATGTCTCAATACAGTAGTAGAAGTAGCCTTGCTGACATCACCAACGTATAAACTAGTATTGGTCTATAACTGGTCGATGTGCCGATCTTCAACAGCCCGCTCTTCGTTGTTAGCCGCCTCAGTTTCTCTCGTCTCCCGTAGACGCTTCCTGTAGGTATTCTCGTTGTCCTCCGGCAGCCGTGTTCGCCTTATGTTGCGGCGGCCGTCCGGCAGCTTGCCCGGCTTTACTACCGCCCGGCAGCGCTTGTAAGCCGGGCTATACTCACGCCAAAGCCGCTCCGCGTTTTCCAGTACGGAAGGAACGTTCAGTTCTCGGTTTCCAGAACTGATTCAGAGTTTTCCAGTTCTGAAGTCGCCTCAGATCTGGACGCCCAGTTCTGACAGAACTTCCGAACTGGAAGTTCAGTTCGGAAGGCACCTTCAGTACTGACTCACCGAGTACTGAGGGAGGAACCCGTTACTTAGGTACTTTTGCGGGCTCCTGCGTAGTCTCCAACAGGCTTCTTTCGGGATGCTGGTGTAGTCTCCAACACGCTTCTCTCAGGGCTCCTGCGTAGTCTCCAACAGGATTCTCTTAGGGCTCTGGTCTAGTCTCCAACAGGCTAGTCTCCAACAGGCTTCTCTCAGGGCTCCAGTGTAGTCTCCAACAGGATTCTCTTAGGGCTCTGGTCTAGTCTCCAACAGGCTAGTCTCCAACAGGCTTCTCTCAGGGCTCCAGTGTAGTCTCCAACAGGCTTCTCTCAGGGCTCTGGTGTAGCCTCCAACAGGCTTCTCTTAGGGCTCCAGTGTAGTCTCCAACAGGCTTCTCTCAGGGCTTCGACATAGTCTCCAACGGGCTTCTCTTAGGGCTCCGGTGTAGTCTCCAACAGGCTTCTCTCAGGGCTTCGGTGTAGTCTCCAACAGGCTTCTCTCAGGGCTTCGGTGTAGTCTCCAACAGGCTTTTCTTAGGGCTCCGGTGTAGTCTCAGACAGGCTTCTTACAGACTCCGATATAGTCTCCAACAGGCTTCGCTCAGGAATGAATAAATATGATTCACTCCAGTACTATTAGATTTTTTAAACCAAGAACATTCAAAGCCATCCTTTTCCTAGGATTGAACTTTTATTTATATCTTGAGATTTACAACATTTGTACAGGGAATACCGATCAATATAACAAGTTGGTATTTCCAGATTTCCACAACATTTCTTTTACTTTCTTTCCTTACAAGTAGGAACATGCAGACATTACAGGACAATGCAAATCGACTCTTCAATGAAATGACAGGAAATCTCGATACTGCCTTCAAGATTTCTGCAGTTCTGTTCATGTTGTGAATAATCAGACTTGTGTACAGTAATTATCCGCGGCTGCAATGCAGAATGATTCTGCAAGGAGGCGCTGTAGGTCTACAGGTGTATTATATATAGCCCTTTACAAGTAAAAATCGCAACCTCACAATAAGATGTCCCTTTTCTCGCTTTTCATCATAATCAATGCCTCAACAAATTACAGATTTCTTAACATCTCAGTGTACAATTTTGTAGGGTGCATATTCACCATTCAAATTACAAAACACTTAGATATTCACTGTTATGTATTGACACTCATGCTATACCCTGTCTATATATACAACATTTTTTAAACAGAACTCTGGGTTTGACTGTGGTCCTGTCCAACATAGACACAGCACCTAAAGTAATTGTTCAGGAAACAGAAAGAGTTGTTTAGCTCCCAACAGTGGGGAGTTTGCCTTGTTGGACTTTTGAGCTGTCCTGTATCCACACTTTCACATCGATAGTCATGTGCAACATTGTGTTTGTCCAAACTGCTTAACTGGATTTCTGTCCAGCAGAATAGTCACACTGGTCTCATTTGTAGGGTTTTTCTCCTGTATGGGTTCTCACGTGTGTGGATGATTTGGAATTAACTGTCCTGTATCCACACTCCATATGCAGGGTTTGTCACCAGCATGTGTCATAATATGATTATCCAGAGAGGATTTCTGTGCAGCAGAATAGTCACACTGGTCACACTTGTAGGGTTTTTCTCCTGTATGGGTTCTCATGTATTGGGTTAGGTGAGACTTAGGTGTAGGGTTTCTCACCGGTGTGCTTTACTATATGTCGGTCTAAATGAGATTTCCATGCTGTACAATAGTCACACTGGTCACACTTTTAGGGGGCACACCCCAGTTTATTTGGGGCCTCTTTTCGAAGCTGCACACCCTCAAATCTAGCGACCGTCTCTGGCGTGGAATAATTCGGAAGGAGAATAACTGTATATGGGACGAAAGGGTATCTCTTCAGCTACAAGACAAGCTGAGTTTGGTTTCTTCAACCTTTTTAAGTTTGGTAAAATCAACGGAAAAAACATTATTTTCACTCCAAAATTAATGCCCAAAATTGCGAATTTTCGCGTAGGATAATCCCACAAAAAAATTTTCCGGCAGAAATGACTGATGCTGGCAGAAAGACCCAAGCCTTGACTATACCCGAGTAAATTATAAAGAAAATTCTAGTACTGTAATTTTCTAAACAGTCCACGGCGCGAGGGGTTGCAAATCCACCCCTACGAAGCCACAGAGCGAAAACTAGGTCAAACGGGCGGATTACACTTGGCGCGCAAGGATACCCGGAAGTAAGGTTCGGAGCCAAAAGAAATTTTCACCCCAAAATCACCATTTCTTACACTCTTCAGCCATGTTAATGTTTAATGATACTTCGTGGCAGTTTATAAGAAATGTCACCTCAAACTTGGACCCTCAAAACCCTTTCGTCACTTTTTTACAACGGACTATCACGGACCCCGGTCGCGGAAGAACTGGGGTGTGAACCGTTAAGGGTTTTTCTCCTGTATGGGTTCTCATATGTTGGGACAAGTTGTGCTTTTGAGCTGTCCTGTACCAACACTCCCCACACATGTAAGGTTTCTCATCGGTGTGCTTTACTATATGTCGGTCTAAATTAAATTTCCGTGTTGCAGAAAAGTCACACTGGTCACACTTGTAGGGTTTTTCTCCTGTATGGGTTCTCATATGTTGGGATAAGCGAGACTTTCGAGTTGCCCTGTATCCACACTCCCCACACAAGTAGGGTTTCTCACCGGTGTGTTTTGCTTTATGATTATCTAAGGTGTATTTCCATGCTGCAGAATAGTCACACTGGTCACACTTGTAGGGCCTTTCTCCTGTATGGGTTCTCATATGCTTGGATAAGCTGGCCCTCACAGCTGTTCTGTATCCACACTCCCCACACATGTAGGGTTTCTCACCGGTGTGTTTTGCTAGATGTTGGTCCAAACTTATTTTATGCGCTTCAGAATAGTCACACTGGTCACACTTGTAGGGTTTTTATCCTGTATGGCTTCTCATATGTACGGATAAGTCAAAATTTCTAGCTGCCCTGCACCCATTGTCCCCACACATGTAGGGTTTCTCACCAGAGTGTTTTGCTTGATACAAATCAGATTTCTGTGCTGCAGAATAGTCACACTGGTCACACTTGTAAGGTTTTTCTCCTGTATGGGTTCTCATATGTAGGGATAAGGTAGACTTGTAAGCTGCCCTGTACTCACACATGTAGGGTTTCTCACCAGCGTTAGGGTTTCTCACCAGCGATATTCAAGTTGACTTGTGCTGCCGCCTGGCCTTGAACATTGCTTTTTTTGCTGTCACAGACGACTTGGCAAACCCCGGTGGGAGACCCATCACAGCAGTTCTGACCAACTCCAATGGAAGACCCGAGTCCTGTCGCTGCCATGTTGAGCCTGTTGAAAAAATAAAGAAATCGTACAGATTGTCAGAATTGTCAATGATAAAATTAGGTTGAAAGAGTTCTGACTTCAACAATTTTAACCTAATGCATTACAACGTAACCCACCATAATTCTAGCGTGTTGCATTTTTTTTGCATTTGAATAAATTTGCTTCTATGTTGCGACAAAATAAATGTTAGATCTTGATGATCACTCTCTCACTCACTCACTCACTCATTAACTAACCCACTCACTCAAGATCAAACTCTCTCACTCACTTACTTCACCGAGCTTGTTCACTCACTCACTTACTCACTCACTCACTCACTCACTCACTCACTCACTCACTCACTCACTCACTCACTCACTCACACCACAGAGTTTGCTCAAAATATTTCAGTTATCAATTCTACATCTACACAAACAATGGGTAAAATGGAAAGCTAGGCTGGAAAGAGAGTCGGCAGTATAGCCTATAGGTTTGGTCACCAGGCTTCTCTATTTACTGTTTTTACAAATCAGTTCTACGCGTTTCTAGACTTTGTAATGTACGCTTTGTGCTATTCTTTACAAAATTATACAATTAACATATCTGTATAATTTCACGTACTCTAAAAAGGCCACTTTGCCTAATGCAAATCGACGTACAAGTAAGTGGCGAGGGAGGGTCGACGTATGTTAGGTTTCGCCCCCCTCCCCCTTTAATTCAACGATATTCACATACCGAAAATGTCTACAAATTATCATCCTAGTACGGTTTTTTTTTCTTCCACAGAAATGGTCTTAAACTATTCCCCTCAACATTAGAATACTTTTCTGTCCGTTTCTGAGCCTTACCTGCTTCCTATGACGGTTTTTCTCTTCACGTAAACCAGAACTCGGGCAGCTTTGTGGTAGCAGAACACAGTTTTCGCCCTATGGGGATTTCTACAGGGGAGGGAGCAGGGAATCATATGTCCATTGGATCCTGTACAAAACAAGGAACAAAAACAGGCTTCAAAGTACACTTACCAGAATTGCAAGGTCCCAAAAATTCCATCCACTGGACAGCTAAACATGTCTAGTTGCCGTTTTTGGAAAAAGCCCGGCTTCGACTCCTGCTAGTTAAAGCGCTAGAGCCCTTTAAATGTAAACAACCACTGACCTTTGAACCTGCAGCATAGAAACACACGACTTGTGCTGGAAAAAACCCTCCCAAAACATGTAATTCTATAGCACCACCAATGGCAAAGGTCACCATTTCTTTCTGGATTTCAAAAGTAAACACATGTCTGACCTCCCTACCTGAAAAACTGGCCAAAATGGACCCAGGATTCAACCAGAAAAAAAATTCTCAAACATAATAACACTAAAAACATCGTGGGCGAACTGGCCCTTCCCCGCATGCGCCAAAACTGGTCCCCCTCCTATAGTCAAGAACCCCAAGATGACTCACTTCGACGCGGTAAGAATTATACTAGCAGGGTGCACTTCACAAATACGAAAATCGAATATGTTTCAGAAGAAGGTACAAACTACAAAATATCTAGAAACCAAAAAACCCTGTCGGCGTATCTGCTCGTAACGTACACTTTGAAATCGCCTCCTACGGACGTGACCTGAACTGCAGCCGACTCACCCGGAAAGCCAGTTGCGCAATACGGCGCATTTATACACGAACTGCAAAATCTTCAAAATTCAAATCATACAGTCTCAAACCCGATACATTCCTACACCACAAAGCACAATTTACATCTGGCTGACGCTCTTGTCAGGCTTTCTACCCAGCCTTAAAGAATATTCGCTGTACTACTTTCTATACCCGCGTTAAAGACCCCCGGGGGTCGCCCATTAATACATGTGTGCTGCGACCTCAAAAGGAACTGGCGTAAGGTTCCGGGTCAGAGTTTAATTCTGACCAGGGTTCCAAATAGTGCGCAGTAAATCGCCGGATCTGCGAGGTTGTCACGCTAGGAGTGGCTCCCCATAGCTCGGCGATCGTTGTAGATTTTCAACTAGGTTTTGAATTGATCAAATAACCTTGTGATTGTGGTGTTTTCCGGCGTGGTGAGGTTGGTTGACCAGTCAGTGAAGCGTTTTTAGTATTAGTCCGAGAGCAAGGGTGATGCGGTTTGTCGCCGAGTCACGGGGTCACCCAGACCAAGGAGGTTAAATACAACTCATGCCTTCATACCGTCCCGTCCGCTCCAGACGTGATGAGCGAGTTGAAATCACAAGAGTGAAAACTCTTGCGCTTGGTCGGCGCATCTAGGCCAGAGGTTTTTTACCGAGCGGACAACCGCGGGGTCACGGGGTCACCCCGGCCCGTTAAGGGCGGAAAACCCTAAAAACCTCCTCTCGCCATTGACAATACATTACGAGAGGAGGTTTTTTCAATAAAATGATATTTAAAAAGATAGAAAATAAAAAGGAAATATCTTTTGGGACCAGGCTACACCTGTCGCCCAGGTGCGCCGACCAAGCGCATCAGGTGGGACGGCTGGCGCTATCTGCACCTGTAACAGGGGGGAAGAGTTCTTCTCACCTGTTGCTGGTGATGACGTCATACCGTCCCGTCCGCTCCAGACGTGATGAGCGCCCGTTTTGGCGAGTTGAAATCACAAGAGTGAAAACTCTTGCGCTTGGTCGGCGCATCTAGGCCAGAGGTTTGTACCGAGCGGACAGCCGCCGGGTCACGGGGTCACCCCGGCCCGTTAAGGGGGGAAAACCCTAAAAACCTCCTCTCGCCATTGACAATACATTACGAGAGGAGGTTTTTTCAATTAAAATGATATTTGAAAAGATAGAAAATAAAAAGGAAATATCTTTTGGGGCCAGGCTACACCTGTCGCCCAGGTGCGCCGACCAAGCGCATCAGGTGGGACGGCTGGCGCTATCTGCACCTGTAACAGGGGGGAAGAGTTCTTCTCACCTGTTGCTGGTGATGACGTCATACCGTCCCGTCCGTTCCAGACGTGATGAGCGGGCGAGTTGAAATCACAAGAGTGAAAACTCTTGCGCTTGGTCGGCGCATCTAGGCCAGAGGTTTTTACCGAGCGGACAACCGCGGGGTCACGGGGTCACCCCGGCCCGTTAAGGGCGGAAAACCCTAAAAACCTCCTCTCGCCATTGACAATACATTACGAGAGGAGGTTTTTTCATTAAAATGATATTTGAAAAGATAGAAAATAAAAGGAAATATCTTTTGGGACCAGGCTACACCTGTCGCCCAGGTGCGCCGACCAAGCGCATCAGGTGGGACGGCTGGCGCTATCTGCACCTGTAACAGGGGGAAGAGTTCTTCTCACCTGTTGCTGGTGATGACGTCATACCGTCCCGTCCGTTCCAGACGTGATGAGCGCCCGTTTTGGCGAGTTGAAATCACAAGAGTGAAAACTCTTGCGCTTGGTCGGCGCATCTAGGCCAGAGGTTTGTACCGAGCGGACAGCCGCCGGGTCACGGGGTCACCCCGGCCCGTTAAGGGCGGAAAACCCTAAAAACCTCCTCTCGCCATTGACAATACATTACGAGAGGAGGTTTTTTCAATAAAATGATATTTAAAAAGATAGAAAATAAAAAGGAAATATCTTTTTGGGCCAGGCTACACCTGTCGCCCAGGTGCGCCGACCAAGCGCATCAGGTGGGACGGCTGGCGCCATCTGCACCTGTAAAGCTAAGGTCCCAATTACGCCGGTGCCCGTCGGGGATGTAGCCCCGGCTGGCCCCGGCCGGGTTCAGAAGTCGGGCGGGCATCGGCTGTCGTGGTCACAATTAAAAATTTCCTTCAGTAGTATTTTGTTAGAAATTTTGTCACCCTCTTTGGTCGGTATCCGGCAGGCACCCGGCAGGTACCCAGCAGATTCTCTGACGATGTCTTGTATTGACCTATACGTAATGCAGAATTCACGTATTTGTTGTGATCATTTGATCTGTGAGGTCACACATTTTACCCGGGTTTACGAAGTACACACCTTTATTCTGTTCATCTGGTCTGTGACGTAAGAATGTGTCCGGTGGAATGCCGGCAACCGGAAGGGTACCTCTCGGTGTTCCCACGATGANCCCCGTTTCAAATTCAGCAATGTATGAAAACCTACAAACGTTCTAGTTCAGAGGTTTTTTTTTTCAAATAATGTTTATTCGCATTTCAAAAGGAAACAAAGAAAAAAGGGAGAGGACATGTTCACATACAAGAAAAATAAATACCCAGAGACATTCGAGTTCAGAGTTACCCAAACCCTTCCCGTTCCAATCGAGAATTTCTCAAACACTAACCTAGCTATAGTTCTAACCTAGATAATTCAACCCCCGGAACTTATAATTATAATACATGTACTAGCACCCACGCAACTTCAATCCACCTAGCCAAGTTCTGGCCCGTCTTCGGTCGCGATGTTATCTTCAGGAAGTGTGATTTCACACATTCAAAGAACTCGGGGAAGTCCCGAACATGTCGCGGATATTCCGAACTGAAGTTCGGTCGATCGGAAATGGCGACGACCGCTCCGAAAGGCGACGACCGTTCTGAAAAAAGGCGACGACCGTTCGGAAAGGCGACGACCGTTTACGAGACGGAAATTTGCGTCGGCGCATCTAGGCCAGAGGTTTGTACCGAGCGGACAGCCGCCGGGTCACGGGGTCACCCCGGCCCGTTAAGGGCGGAAAACCCTAAAAACCTCCTCTCGCCATTGACAATACATTACGAGAGGAGGTTTTTTCAATAAAATCATATTTAAAAAGATAGAAAATAAAAAGGAAATATCTTTTGGGACCAGGCTACACCTGTCGCCCAGGTGCGCCGACCAAGCGCATCAGGTGGGACGGCTGGCGCTATCTGCACCTGTAACAGGGGGGAAGAGTTCTTCTCACCTGTTGCTGGTGATGACGTCATACCGTCCCGTCCGCTCCAGACGTGATGAGCGCCCGTTTTGGCGAGTTGAAATCACAAGAGTGAAAACTCTTGCGCTTGGTCGGCGCATCTAGGCCAGAGGTTTGTACCGAGCGGACAGCCGCCGGGTCACGGGGTCACCCCGGCCCGTTAAGGGCGGAAAACCCTAAAAACCTCCTCTCGCCATTGACAATACATTACGAGAGGAGGTTTTTTCATTAAGAATGATATTTAAAAAGATAGGAAATAAAAAGGAAAAATCTTTTGGGGCCCTGTCCATTTCTTTTCTAATTTGCAAAAAAAAAAGGGTTCTAAATTAACTGCACAATGCTCAATGGAAGACATATTTTGGCCTCAATAGTTGAACAAAGTCCTTTTCAATGTAACAATGCAATTTTATTTCATTCAAAGTTCAAAATTTATTGTATAGACTATAAACCAACCTGGTATGTTCGTATTGTACCATTTCCGGCTATCATGGGGTGCCTTGGCCTGTTTTTTCTTTTTCATTTTGCCCTGTCACTTCATATTTTTTCTGAAAAAAATCCGAGAAGCAACAAATTAAATTGGTGTGGCCTAAAGGCAGTTGAAAATAAATTTCTGAATTTTATACTAGTCCTGAGTAGCGTGTCTAAGTTTTCCCTCCTCCCCAGGTCCACCCTGAAGCTGTGTGCCCAGTGCAAGCTGACCCGGTACTGCAGCCGAGACTGTCAGAAACAGCACTGGACTGTCGGACACAAGAAGAGCTGTGGACATAACGCTGGCGAGGAACCAACTGAATTTGAAAAAGTGGGCATGCATATGATGCTAGCATGGGCACCTCTATTCCAGCCTGTTAAAATTTCATGTTCATGACAGGTGTATCCGGACTTAAAAACACCCTAGAATATCATGTATAACAAGCTAATTTACAAGTTCTTGACCATAGGCTAATTGCAACATGAAACAATGTATAGATTATAGAGTAATCGCTGCTAGTAATCCTATGTAAATCGGGCTAAGCATTACATAAGATGATGAGTACAAATACACATGCATACAGACAGTGCAGGGTAATATTGGTGACATGTTGAACAAATGACTAGATAGGCTTTAGCAAAACAACTTAATCTCCTTTTTCTATCATTCTGATAAGACTGTAGCGCATAGCACTGTACTCCCTGAGTCCTGATACTAGTATTTATATTTGATATTATTGATATGCGCTTTCAGAAATTTCTGTTAGGTGTACACTCCAAAGCGTCAAATGATGGCGTCAGAGGAGAACTAGGAGCTTTCCCAGTTATAATTGATACACAAATTCAACTCATAAAATATTGGCATCGTTTAGTCAATTTACCCGAGGACGCCCTTCTTCGTGAGGCATACAATGTTGTTAGCTGTGAAGAACATGACTGGATCGTTCATGTATATAATATCCTCAACTACCACGGTTTTGGACATATATGGCTAAACCCGCGGAATTATCATATAAATTTGATTACCACTCAGTTACGGCAACGTTTACAAGACATTTATATTCAAAATTGGCACTGTACGATTAGAAACAATTCAAAACTTTCCGTCCTTTCAACCTTAGACAAACATTATAAACAGGAAAACTACCTTTTATACATAAAAAGCCTTGATATATGAAGAGCAATCACAAAACTCAGGATTGGCTGTCACAAATTAAGTATGGAAACAGGAAGATTTCAGAAAATACCTGCTGACCAGAGGGTTTGTCCATTCTGTCCAGAATTAATAGAAGACGAATACCACTTTTTGATTGTTTGTCCCAAATATTCTGATATACGTAATTCACTATATGCAACTATATCAACTTCTATACCAGAATTTCTCGCCATGAATTCATCTAGCAAATTCAGATACTTGTTGACTTTTGACAATCCATACATTGTGAATATAGGACAGTATTTTAAAGAATGTCTAAACGTAAGAAATTCTTTTAATGATTGTATAAGCGCCTTTTCATCCCATATCACCTAGTACTGTACTACGTAGACTGATTTGTTAGACTTGTTCTCATTTCTGCCATACTTTGTACCTTGTACATTGTTGTGTAATAAAAGTCACATTATGAACACATGCTCTTCCCAATTTGGGACCTAACTTTACATCAACCACATCCCTATGTACCTGCGAAGTTGTGTGTTACACTGTGGGGTAGTTATACTGGCTATACAGATGCAGATACCCAGAATGGACACTGGACAAAGATAGTGTAAGATCTGCAACTTTATTCCTTATCAGATCAAAAAATATTCTGAAATCTTTCAGATAACTGTTGCTATCATGTTGTTGTCAGCTTCAGAAAGAGGAGTTATCTTACATATGCACATCAACTTGAGGAGATAAAAGCTGTAGTACTGAACATGTTCTATAGCCTTGCAATATACATCACAGACATCAGCTATTAGGACAGAGAGACAACCCCCACATTTGGTCACCCAAAACATTATGTCCGTACTTAAGTTGTGATCAAGCATTTCATACCAAAGATGCAAAATGTTGTAACGTCTGTAAAGCTGCATTTGTTGTGCATGTTCTAAGCTACCTTTTGACACACTACACTTCCCCTGCTGTTGACTGGATTGTTTTTAGGATTTTCCTAACTTCAGCGTCGGTGACAGTGCACGTATCTTGTCTGCAGCTCTTCTTGTGTCCGACAGTCCAGTGTTGTTTCTGACAGTCTCGGCTGCAGTACCGGGTCAGCTTGCACTGGGCACACAGCTTCAGGGTGGACCTGGAGAGGAGGGAACAGTTACACGAGCTGTTTAGAACTATGGTAGAATTCAGAAAAGTTACAGACACATATGTAAACATGCATAGTGATACACATACACACACACATACACGTACAAAAAAACATACATACACGCACACATACACGTACAAACATACATACACGCACACACACACATACACGCACACACACACATACATACACACACACACATATACACACAACACACGCACATACATACATACAGACATACGCACACACAGTGACTGACACACACACATACACACACACAAACACACAGAAACACATACACTCACATACATACACACTCATACACACACACACAAACTGTGTGTTCTGTGTTTCACACACAGAAACACATACACTCACATACATACACACACAAAAAAAAATGAACACGCACACAAATACACAAACGCACGTACACATGTATCAAAAACAATATTATCTTGCATACCTGGTGGTAACAAAACCTACCTGCGGCCCGCTTTGCCACACGTAGGGTTGCAGCATCGCAACATCTTGGTCTTTATCGCCTGTTGTACCAGCTTCATCAGCTCTCTTCGTACACAGCCACAGTCTTCTCCAACAACATCTGCCATGCAGTACCTAGTGGAAAATGTGACACATATAGGAAGTCTGAAATGGGAGATTTTAGACTTTCCAGAAGAGAAGTATTTTAGATTTTCGTGACCTTCGAGTTCACCCCATTTCCCGTGCCCGACCTTCAGGCCTCCTGTCATTCTCAATCTGCCTACTGGTTTCATCCCACCCAGGTGCTGTCAACCTACTCTCAAGTTTACCCCCATTTCCTGTGTCTGGCCAGTCATTCTGTCTGTCAATCTTTCTCCCGCCAACATGCTGATCACAGCCCATTCATTCTTAAATCATGGGTCACTTTAGCCTCCTTTGCATGCGTTTGCCCGGATCGGTCATCTTTTTTTTTTTGGTGGTGGGGGGGGTGCTTTTTTTCTGATCAAACCTAGATCTTAGATTGGCGACCGGAGCTTCTAACGCGTGCGATCTAGGTTTGATCAGAGATTAAATGCACTCCGGAACGCCTCTGGAACGGAGGCTATTGACACTTACTCCTGGGCCGTCCTGCCACGGCGGTCAGCCAGGTCAACCCTTGCTCCAAACTCAATCAGTTGCCGGACGGTGTTGACATGTCCGAACAAAATGGCAGCCATGAGTGGCGTCCTCTGGTAGGCATCCCGTGTGTCCAACGTTGCACCGTGATGTACCAGCAACTCCACCACCTCTGTATGCCCTGGGTTGGAGTTGCAATGTGAGAAATACGCATCAACCAATGTTACATTCCAGTAGGTATCTGTGTCTGAATAGCCAGTATAACTGCCCTTCGGCGTAACACACCAGCTTTGCAACGCACAGTGACATGGCGTGGCAGCAGCTGGCTACTACACAGAGCAACTTGTTAAACCTATAACCCTTGAACATCTAACTCCAAACAAAACACGTTACAACCGCTTTCACACCGGCGCGATGTTGCTAGCCTGGCGTTACTAGGCTAGCAACATCGATATTTCCACGGCAGATGCTCTGCTGAACTTCACTCCCTCGTACCCCCACTCAGAACATTCTCTGCAAGAACACGCTTAGCCACCTCAACAGCAGAAAATCACCCTTTCTTCCTCATAGTCCATCAGTCAAGAGAAAATTTCATGCTGACAGTTTCTTCCCCAGAACCACTTCACTGTGGAACAAGCTTCCCCGTGAATGTTTCACCGCTAATTACAACCTCCAACGGTTTAAATCAAGGGTGAACAAATATCTGACCACGCAGTCATCACTGTAACCTAAAACACGTAAGTGGCTCTCACGAGCCTTGTTTTGAGGTGAATTCTGAAGTAAATTAAAAAAAAATGAAAACAATTGTTTAAAGCTATCTAATGACAATGGGCCTACTGTACTAGGTGACAGTGAGTTCCACTCTGTGAAAGTTCTAGGGAAGAATGAATTCTTGAACACCTCAATCCTTGGTTGATAACTCTGGTACTTGAAGGCATGGCTATTTCTTGTCCTTTTCTGGGGTGGTATTATGTACTTAGTAGTTCAGTCTGTTGGTATGTCCACCAGTCTTTTAGTCATTTTGTACATCATGCATAGTCTGGGCTATTTTTCATTCGTCTTCCAGTGATACCCACTGTAGGTTTCTTTTCATTTTATAATACGAAAGAAAAATAAGACTATTAGGCAACATATAAACACAAATAAAGTAAAACATGTACTAGGCACCTGATACACTGTCATAAATCTTGTTTTTGCATGTTTGCTTGCCTGGCCGAGAGACCTTTCACAATTTAATCTTTAGCTCTATCTTCTTTATAGCTTAAACTGGCATCTTTTTAGCAAACTGGCATTTGTTTTAATTGACGCCTTCACTGCATTTGGTAGGTCGTGAGTTTGATCCCCGGCTGAGTCATACCAAAGATCAAGGACATTATACACAAATGTCCTTGCAAAGATTTAAAAAATGGTACATACTTCTTTCTCTGCTTAGCACTCAGAACTTGTGTAAGAATTAGGAGAGTAGAAACAGAAAGACACTCCTGGTCCCAGGCCGGGGTTTGAACCCCAGACACAGAACCCGGGCACCAGCTTCATATGCCGACAGTCTTTAACTATTTGGCTAAACGGTCTAGACCCATCGGCCGGGTCAGGTGGTAGCACCTATAAACCCCCCCACTGTTACACTTGAGAAGAGTATGGGAGTTAACACACCACACCACTCACCATTGCCCGCCGCTCCATGAAGCGGGGCACATGATATACCAGCGCCGGTTTTCTTCGACACCGACGCCCCCATGTGTATCAGCAGTCGCACCATCTCTACATCCCCGTTGATGGAGGCGAGTAACAGACCCGATCCAGTGCTGTCAATGTCATCCTCGGCATAGTCAATGTCAGCACCTGCATTTGTTGATAAGATTACAGTTTACTTAATTAGTAAAACATATTAAACATATTAGCATATTAAAGAAAAAAATTTTCCTGTTTTAGTCCTGAAAACTATGGTTGGCAGGTAGATCTAGGGATTTTTTCCTTATCTTTTTTTGGTGATCTCCAGTGATCTAACTTATAACTTGTTACAATGATATGAATCTTTATCGCAAATCTTGCCCAGATGGGCTAAATGCACAAGAGGATATGCAGTATGCAAAACATGAGTATGTCATACTGGAAAGCTATATTCTAATGCAATACTATACTATACAATACTATATACTACCTATTATCTACTGTTAGTTGCCCTTTCTTCTCTATTTTTGAAAC